GGGACACTTGAAGGTCAAAAAGGTTAAATTCGTGTCCGCTCCATAACTTTTTCATTTATTATGCTAATTTGATTAAACTTCACACAAATGTTCACCGGCATTAGCTATTGTGTCTCATGCAGCATCAAGGTCCCTACCGCGTCAAGGTCACACTTGAAGGACACATTCTTGTCCGCTCCATAACTTTATCATTTATTATGCGAATTTGAACAATTTTCAAACTACTTGTATGTAACCCAGGCATTCCGCACCGTCGGTCTATTTTAAGCATTGTCCTTAGCACCACAAACAGTTTTCTGACCAATGAAAAGCACACACGTCACAATAACATCAACTAGGTATAACAGAAACGTGATACTTTAATATACAAGCGTAAAATGGCTGCGAAACAATTGTTTGAAGGAAAGGCATGAAAAACTTATTTAAAAGGCAGCTGTTGAGTTTTACCAAATCAAAAACTTTAATGCGTTAAATATAAAAAATATACATTTCTTCATAACGAACTTGTTTTCTAGTTTTAAGGCAAAAACAATAGATGGATAGTTTCAGATATACATTTTGTATTATGAGAATGAAACACATTTTGCGTGTTTGTCCAACAAAACAGTGCCCCTTTAGATCAAGACAGGTCAGGTAACTAGATTCTATGCGTCATCATTTCCTGTGCTTTATTATAGTTACAAAGGACTGTAGAGGTCGCTATAGTTACAAATGACTGTAGAGGGGGCTATACTTACAAATGACTGTAAAGGGGCTATATTTACAAATTACTGTAGAGGGGGCTATAATTACAAATATCTGTAGAGGAACTATAGTTACAAATGACTGTACAGAGCTATTGCTACAAATGTCTGTACAGGGGGCTAATTTTACAAATGACTGTAGAGGAGCTATAGATACAAATGACTGTAGAGGGGCTATAGATACAAAAGACTGTAGAGGGGGCTACAATTACAAATGTCTGTAGAGGGGCTAAATTTGCAAATGACTGTAGACGGGAGCTATAGCTACAAATGACTGTACAGGGGCCATATTTACAAATTACTGTAGAGGGGGCTATAATTACAAATGTCTGTAGAGGGCCAATAGTTACAAATTACTGTAGAGGGGAGCTATATTTACAAATGAATGTATAAACAAATGTAATTTGTAAAAATGAATAATTTAATATAATTTTAATGATATAGTATTGAACAAGTATAGACACATGTTTTGCATTAAGTTTCTTATTACATGCATGTAAAAAATGGCCTTAGCTTTGTTAATTTCAAACGGATTTTTGTCAGCAGGATTAGGACAGACAGGGGTATTTAACATCACAGAATGGGGAAAATATATAGTTTTTTTCAGAGGGGAACGGGGCCGAAAATGGACGTAGCGCGGGGCCTGTTATTGGTGGTGTCTATAGTTACAAGTGACAATTGAAAATAAAACTTGAATGGAAGGTATTAATGTGGCTTACATTCAACATATTTTCGACCACCGAAGTTTTCATGAATAGTGATTGTGCATTACGAAGATCGATTGGAAATGTTTGATTATAATACAGTATACAAATGTATTATGGAATTCCATAAACGACAGCCAACTGTTGACTGCTTCCTGCAGGCTGCTTACACTATTGCTTACTGCATGCCTACCGTGCGTTGCGCGTATTCATTTGAAATGTATCAGCCAAAGGATCGACCGAGTTATCAACGATTTATTGCACAGACACGCATAATTATTTAGGTTTTGGTACATTTAATGCTATAAGCAGTGAACAATAAGCAGTTAGCCGTAAGCAGTTGACAGTAGGCAATTGACAGTAAGCAGTTGACAGTAAGAGGTAGGCAGTTAACAGTAGGCAGTAGTTAGTCAGAAGTAGACAGTAAGCAGTCAACAGTTGGCTGTCGTTTATGGAATTCCATGTTATAGTCCATGCATTTATTAATTTATCAGTGAATTCCTTTAAATGTGTTCTTAGAATATATATGTACCTGTAAACTATTAAAGTAAATTAGGAGGCAGAAAAATACCAAGGGTCCAACCGGGTTTTGAACCACAGACCTCTTGGTCCGTACACGGACACCTCAACCACGTCGTTAAAGGGTTAATCTAACAGCAAGGCTGATGGAAGTGGCCTATATACCTACAACCACTACACTCCTCCCCTCTTTACTTTTCAGAGCTAGCCAGCTCTCCTGAATGACACTCCCTGCTTACCGCTTGAGTCCGTCAAACACTTCTGACACCATAAAAGTAAATTAGGAGGCAGAAAAATACCAAGGGTCCAACCGGGTTTTGAACAACAGACCTCTTGGTCCGTAGGCGGACACCTCAACCACATCGCTGAAGGGTTTACCCAACAGCAAGGCTGTTCGAAGTGGCCTATATACCACTGCACTATATTGTGTTTGAACTCCAGAACGGCAACTATTTCGACAACTGAATAATGTTTTGACCAATATAGTTGTAATAGGTTGTCCATTTTTATTTTAATGCTATAAGCAGTAAGCCGTAAGCAGTTGACAGTAAGCAGTTGACAGTAAGCAGAAGGCATTCAACATTTGGCAATTCCATAGTATATTGATTCATTTATGTTCAGAAATATTGAGATAAATATAAAAAGTTATGAAAGTATAACAAATCTGTCATAAACCTAAATCAATACACCGCATAGTTACGAATATCGATCAACAGATCAATTGGGTATTATTTAATACTTACATGTAGTAAAGCCTATCTTGTCAGATTATGAACAGGTATAATATAAAATATATATTAAGATATAGTTCCCCCTTAGCATTAACAAGCGGTTTGCTCAGTTATGTCAAATAATATAACAAATATACATGTATATCCAAATGTTTTTGTTCATGCATTTTGTGAGAAAGACATCCTCAAAGAGAAAGTTTGATCTCACACCTGGTCCGTGGTTGAGAACCAAATCCATCCCTTTTATCAAAAACCGTTTCTATGGCCATACAAGGTTTTTGCCATAGACCGCGAAATACAACTTTTGTTTGCTTACTAGGATATGTTTTCATGTGTAAATGGTATAAACTTTAAATGTTTAACACTTACTTTTTGTTTCAGTTCCATTCTGTTACTTTCCTACCAAGTGCGACATTTAGCGTCAAGGGGTTGCGACATTTAGCGGCAATCGATTTTGTGCGACATATAGCGGCAACGTTGCGACATTTAGCGGTAGGCGATTGCGACATATAGCGTTGATTGCGACATATAGCGTCAGCGGTGCGACATTTAGCGTTAGTTGCGACATATAGCGGCGTTGCGACATATAGCGTTGCTCAATGCAAACCCGAAACGTCCATTCTTTAACTTGTTTTCTCAACTCCTCTGTCAATATATACTTAAAAAAATGGTGGAATGTGTACATTGTGCGTGACTCTTTTTCATTGGTTGCAATAGTCACTTTTTTGTTAGTGCTAGTAGCACTGGCAGGTGCATAATATAGTAAGAAAATGCTCCTTTTGTTATTGCTAGTAGCAGCCTAATAAGTCTAATGCTGAAATGTAGCATTTGGAAATAGCACGTCGTTTCATGCTCATATAACAACATGTAAAGGGGATTCAATCTCCCAAACCCAAAGTTTCAACTTCTCATAAAAAGATACCGCTCATTTTACAATCCTTCTGAAACTTTAAACCTGAGTAGTTTGGATCCTGTAATCTAAACTGAAACGCTACATTTGTCTAAGATAATGTACACCGTCATGGTCAAAAACTTTTCGCATTTTCGCGGTCGATTTTTTTGTCAAAACTAACTCAATGACATGACAAAATGTACCATACCAGTGCAGTTGACAACTTAGTGCAGTTGACAACTTATAGGTCAAGGCAATTCAAACATTTGCATGTTCAAGTGTACAAATTTGGAAAATAAATGATATGTTTTATATTTAAAAAAAAATGGTATTCACATTCTGAGAACCAGTGAACGCTTGCATAAACATTGTGCGCGAAAATCAAAGGAAATTATATAACAAACGCTTGTTTTCAGATGGACGGAGAAAAAAGACATTTAGAATGCAGAGAATAAAAGAAGACAGTAATATATGCAATATTTTTTTTTGATTTCAATTTCACATAACATACATGTACAGCCAACAAAACAGTACTGTAAGTATGTATATAAAATTATCAAACATACAAATAAATAATGACTCAAAACATAACAAACCATCATCAACAATAATATATGTAATAATTGTTTTCGTCTTAAAAATTGAGATCATTACGAACAAAAATCATTATAATTATGAACAAGGATTACATACTGGCAAAAAATGTTGCATTTCATTTACGATATGGAAATGAAAATTGTTAAGTAGCTTTCTAGTCTACATAAGACGAAAATTGTCATATGAAACGAAATTTTTGATGATCTACATGAAAAAAATTATGAAATTCTGTTCTAGTTTACACGAAACGATGAAACGAAAATTTGTGAATTTGTTGACTAGATAATTAATACACATCTGTTCTGCCACCATCGTAAATTCAGCAAATTTACCTTTCTTAATTTTTTTTGCACGTACATCTATACTCATTTTATCAAATTAAAATGTACAAGTCTCCTTATTGGCACGAAAACTAAATGAGCCGCGTCACGACAAAACCAACATAGTGCGTTTGCGACCAGCATGGATCCAGACCAGCCTGCGCATCCGCGCAGTCTGATCAGGACCCATGCTGTTCGCTTACAAAGTCTATAACAAGTAGAGAAACTGATAGCGAACAGCATGGATCCTGATCAGACTGCGCGGATGCGCAGGCTGGTCTGGATCCATGCTGGTCGCAAACGCACTATGTCGGTTTTGTCATGACGCGGCTCAAATTAAGTTTTTATAAGGAAACACATGTTACCTTTCATTACGGTAAGAAGTTAAATATGTCAAAATACTCCTTGCATGTGATGTGCATTACAAAAAATTTAACCAAGGGAAAATGAACCCATTTTATAGATGTATTTTTTACTCTTTTTATAATAGTAAAAATCATGAGCCAAACGTCTTTGACCTTATAAAGAAAACAAAATGTAAATAAGGTTTTCAAAAAGTCTTTCTCGGTCATGAAATATTTAAATTCTTACATCATATGCATTTCTAAGTCGAAAAAAAAGAAAGAAAAGAATATTAAGAATTCGAAGTGCATATACATGCAGATTTTACAACTTATTTGATATCCTATACAAATCGCCTGTCATTATTTACAATAACCTTCATTTTAATATCATATCATATATAGCGTACCGAAACCTATCGAAATTTTCACAATGATATGATAGTATTCAAGGTTGATTACAACATTTAAAGGTCCTTATTCTCTGTAGTGTATATATTAAGTTCCTTTTTCTGTACAGTTTCAATATCAGTTTTTAACTTTTTTGTTAGAAAATCATCTCTGTGCATTGGTTGCGAGAGTTAATTGATTAGACTGCGAGTTGGAAAGATTCGTTTGGCTTCGGTTGTCCAGTGTTGCCTTTTTTCTTCGGAGTTTTCGATTGTGTTTTCTTACATGTACTACTGGCACAGTTAAAAGATTTTCTGTCTTACCGTTTGATTTCATATTATTATAAGATGTACAAGTTTGGTCCGATAATTCACTGGCAGTGTCCGAATATTCTAGCTCCTCGGATGCAGAGCTGTACGCGCTGTCATAATTGTCATTCTTCAACCACGGTATCGAACCTGTCGCTACACGTGGGTGAACTTTTGATCCCGTACTGTATATTTCTGAATCACTATTATCACATTCTACCGTGATTCTAGTAAGACATGAAATACTGTGTCTGTTACTGTTTTTAGATGCGAGAACTTCCGTTTCAGATTCACGTGACTGGCAAAATGTAGCTGCCCGGATAAAGTGAGATTTTGTCCGTGAAACTGGTGTGGATTCTTTAGATCTTTCCTCAATAGGTGTAAAGATATTAACTTGGTGGAAACCTTTTAATTTTCTGTAGTGATCGTTCATAATAACTCTAGGAGTTAATCTTGCTGGAAGGCTATGGTTAGATTTAATAGAATGGGTCGGGGACTTGACCCTTATGTCATTCCGTGAAGCGTTTCTAGTTTGTAACTCGCGGAAAATTTCGTTATTTTTAGAGCTAGCGATATCCTTCATCTTTTCACTATATGCCATCATAGACTTTTCTAACAGTTTCCTTTGAGCGTCCAAATGACCCAGACTTTTTCTTTCCATGTTTTCCAAGCGAGCTCTACTTTCGTCAAGTCTTTTCTCTGCACAGCGGATATTAGCTCTGGTGCTGGCACTTGTTTCAGCCGGTATGTGAAGCACTTCTTCATTCTGCACTGTTGGATATGACGTGTGTTTTGTCCAACTTGATCGTCGCCTAGGCGAACTTCCCCCAACTCTGTAAATGAAAGAAGAAATTTATATACTGTCATTAACATACATACTTTTAATAAAACATTACACAGTTTTAAAACAAATTTATAAAGTAATAAGACATCTTAATAGCACACTAATAAAAATTCGTTCATTTTCATTTTTTTAAAAACTAGCAAATTAATATTTTCTATTAAATATGTTTTTACGTATTTTTTTTTTTACAAAAATACATAGAAAATAATATCCATTTATTACCTCTTTGTCATATTTTTCGTTGTTATATCAAATATATAATCAAATATAATATAATTTTACTTCAATGTTTATTATACTCTATTCCGATTGTTGATTTAAAAGCCGTACCAAATCCGTTACCTTTATATACTCGTCGTACAGTATCACACCAAGGCTATGACGTAAAGGAGATTAAAAAATTCCGATTAAATCTTAATTTGTTTTTCATTGAAGTAAATTTGTTTTTTCACTCCTAGGTGAAAAGTTAAATATTTGAACTTTTTCACGTGTCTTTCATGGGTGGCATATAGGTCCTGGTTTATGACTATATTGAAGATTCACGCGGTGGTATGATTCCTTTTGAATTATTTGTAAAAATATTGGTATGTGGCTAATTGTTCAAATACTATAATTAGCTACATAGTCATGTAAAGGGACGATACAAAAGAAGACAGGGATGGTGTTCCATAGTTACTACTATTAACAGCAATCGTAGTTGATATTTAAAGAAGACCCACCTTTTAAATTATATCAATCGCATTGTATACATTGTATTTCTTTCTTACTGAAAACCCTAGTTTCTAACTTTATTATTATAATCATTTTTAGTCATTTCGATTTATTATGAAATTCCAAAATGGCTGTGTCACCCACACACAGTCGAAACAAAGTAATATTCGTGTAAAATTTGATAACGTAAAATTATCTCTCAACCACTTTGTGTTTAGCTCCTTTTGAGTAATAGAATCATTTTCGCATCAGAATGTACCAAGGATATTAACACAAAATACTGAAATAATAAAGCTGTGCCAGAACAAATACAACCAAATACATTAATATGATTGTTATGAAAACAACCAAATAATACTTTTTTTTCAAATCCGACATTTTCCGCCGGATTTACATGCTTGTATAAGAAAAATTCTACGACAAATAAATATCAATCAATTATGCTTTAAACGGAATTATCATTTAGTATGTTACTAATGCCCGACATGTTAAAATGTGATACATGTATTTCCAAAATGTCCTCCAATCGACAAAGCAAAATTATCTTTCACCACTCATTTGCATCCCCGGGCCCCATCTCGGGATTTAGGTAATAAAAGTACTGTATTACCCCTGGGTATCGCTGGAAGGTCAAAAAATGTCCATCTTTATATATTTGAAGCAATTTCAACATTTATTCAAAATTCTATTGACTCAAACTTCTTGACCTCGCTGTATTGTTGTTTCATTTAAATTTTCATAATCATTTAGTCTTTAATCTAGATTAACTGTCAATTATATATGCTCTTTGTTATTTATTATAATATTTAATACTTTGAAGTTGATCCCGCTGTTTAAAAAGTTAAACCAATCACTCTGGCATTTACAAACACACGATCTTGCCGTATCCATAATAAAGCAAATATCAGCTGTTCAAATGATATTTTAATCTTTCCGGTCATGTTCCAAAATCATGAATTAGTAACATTGTATTTCTGTATGATAATATTTAATTATAGGCGTCCTCCAAATAAAATTACTGACGTCATACTACATAAACTGAAGGTTAAAATATCGATCCGACAAAGAATTTGATTTAATAATTGAGATAATTGAGTTTGGATGTCATTTATCGGGCATGTTTCATTTTTTTGTTCATGTTATATTTAGTTAACGAGGATTGTCATTAATCATGCAGTCATTGTATTGCAACGACAATTAGTAACGTTTCCACCAATTACGGTAAATATTTGAAATAAATACAAAAACAGAGACATTCTGTTCTTAATAACTTCATTGGGAACAAATATACTTGGAATGAAGTAGCAGATTTAACAGTAACACTTCTTTATCAACGTTTTCTTTGTTCTTACTAACCCATTATACTCAGTACACTTCAATGAGCATTTGAAAACTGTATTGATATATAGCAGTACAGTTTTTTCATTGATTCATATAGGAAAAAAACTCAACTGCTATATATATTTTCACAGAGGCTCCAATAGGGCAGGGTTAACGAACATTCCCAGTAGAAAAAAACGGAATCAATAAAATAAAATAATGAATAAATACAATGAAAAATATAAACAAAGATTATTAATGAAATGAAATTTACTCTCATTTAATCAAAAGGTACACCCGCTGAATGAATTATTTCTACTGAAAAAAAGCCCTTGATTCTTTAAATGTCCTTTGTATATGATTGTTTTTACGGCAGCGAAAACAACTTGAAAAAACTGCCTTATCATAAATAGCTGTAATTTAGCTGACGATTTATTTATTTATTTATGTTACAAAAAAGAAAACATCATGCCATTGCGATAAAACAGTTAAAGTTATGAAACTCGTTAGTTACGAGGCTGGGGCGACATCTCGAGATGTTTCTGCAAAATTGGCTTGGTCTAGAACGGCCTTAGCAGAAACATCCCTTAATGTCGCCCCAGCCAGTGCTATATCCTCGTAACTAACTCGTTCCATATACTATAACTATTACATAACAATATTATCATTAAAAAATTAACAAATAAATCTTTGTTCTAAAATAATTTTAAAAATTAAACAATTAGATATCGTTTATAAAAAAATAATTTTATTGTATGTATAATAAAAAAAATGCGCGCACACCCACACACACATTGAGACTGTATTGTGTATTTCAAAAGATAGGTGTATATTTCACTTTCAATGGAGTGTGCATGATAGCAAATCACTTTCTTGTCATGGCAAAACGAGCTATGTTTTGGTTATTAGACTTGCTTCCGCACGCAATGGCATTACTTTTCGTATCATTTCCAATCACACGCACGTGTCTCTATTGTTTTTAGGCAATGGGACTTCGAACACTGAAATAAAGTTTCTTTCACATAATGAAAAAAAATCTTTCTTTTGCATTGGTAATGGTTTTGTATGTAGAATTAGTTGATCGAGTAAATAAATAAAGTGAAGTGTAAGATATAATTATATATAAATATGAGTGTAGCAATCATATTGAACAATTTATGTTTCGCTTCTTTGTAAAAAAAAAAAGAGCTCATAAATTCTTCTGTGTTCTAGGATTGCAATTTGTATCGGTTCGTTTAATAGCATTTATAATAGCTAAATCAATTCATTCTATATATTTTGCAAGCCTATGGAAATGTACCTTTCCAATACTCTATTAATTAAAGTCATGTTTATGAAACAAAACTGAGAAAAAATAAACTTAAATGTATGGTGGCTGATTTTGTACGCTTTTGTGCGTCGCGTTGGCATTTGGCGTGCTGCGCTAGAGACACTTAATTTTAGCGACATGCACTAGCTCGGAAGTAGCGATAGAGCGATTTACCGTATACCTCCGAAAGAGGTAGTTCTATCATTTACCAGGCGTGTCTATGTTTACAGTGTTTTAAACGTTACAATGCTGTGAAGATATATTCCATGTACGGCAAATAGACCAATATCGTCCTTGAACTAGGACTATGTTACAATGTTCGGAAAATGTATGTAGACGGATATGTTCTTGATTCATGGATATGTTATGCATGCCATCTATGGTATATATAGACCAATACCGAATTTTATCCAGGACTATGTTACAGTGTTCTGAAGATGCCTGACATCTACGGCACATATAGACCGGTACCGCAGTAGGTACGAACGTGCCTCGCACGGGTAGATTCTGTCATCGCCAGTAAGCTTATCGTTAACTGATTTGGTTTATGTCACATATTCTAGCATTAATTTGGAAGGTGGTCAGTTCTTATAATAATAGACACGAATTTATTTTTGAATGAAAAATATAACGTGCTAGCATCTAACCAACACATCATAAGTTTTGAATTGACCTATGAAGCACGTGCATATTGTCATTCAAATATCATGTACTAGTAGCCCTGTCCTTTATCCAGTCTTTGTACCAGTTAAAGGCCGGCCAGTAAATAAAACATAACATCTCACCATTTCTTTTTAAATGCCTTCAATGCCACAAACGAAGAACATGCATCGAAGGTCGTACTTTCACGATGTACAGAATGTGGTTTAAACAATGTCTCAGTGGCCTTCACATGTTAATCAGGATTACTGATCAAGAAATAATAATCTAATATGCCCCTTATTTTCACCTGATCAGGTTATTGACCGTTGTTGTATTTATATAAAGGCGATTTGAACAGCAACTGCTAAATCCGGGATTAGTTTTTTCTTATTAGATATGTATTTAGGCCATAAACCTATGTCAACTTGACTCCGGTAGCATTAAATACATTACAAGGTGCCGTGTTTTCTGAGAGAAATATCCACTTCAAAGTTTAAAACAAACTTGTGTTCGTAAAAACGAAAAGCTGATAGGACTGAAGATATTTTGCATCCTTCAGCTTAAAATACAGTATATAATACCACATACATGTGTCCAAACAGTAAATCGTTTGATCATATACCCGTGCTGCTTTTGCCAGTCTGTAAAAACGGTATTGCACGGTCGTGCATATAATTTGACGTGACGCAATTGACGTTATCCCTAACGTAAAATGCGCTGAATAGAGAGAGGTTCGAATTATACATGTGTAATAATTTTATTCAACTCATTCAATTTAAGCAGTAATACACTTACACTCATTCATTATGATTATTTTTTTCCCAGGATGGGGGGGGGGGGAACAGTTTGAACAGTTAAAGAAAGGAACTTTGAAACAGGAAAAACATTTAACTTCACACGATAATAAGATAGATAGAGAAAGGCCCTTGTAGTGGGTTGAAAATAAGATTAAAAAAAAACAAGAGGGCCATAATGGCCTTGAAATCGCTCACCTGTAAATAGGCCCTTAGGGCGGGGCTAATTTTAACCCAGGGGCTTTTTATAAAAGAAGATTTTTTTAAAGTTTTTACTATACACATATAAGGAAAATCAGATCCCCGGGGCGAGACAAATTTAACCCTGGGGCTTTTATTTGAACAAATTTGGTAGACACTCACTCAAAGATGTTTCATGCTTAATTTCTAAGTTCAACAAGTAGCTCTATGGGTTATTTAAAAGAAGATTTTTTAGTTTTTACTATAGACATATAAGGAAAATCAGTACCCCCGGGGCGGGGTCAATTTTTTAATCCCAGGGCTTTAATTTGAACAAACTTTGTAAGACACTCACCAGAAAGAATGTTCCATGCTTAAATATCTAAGCTCTAACTCTTTGGTCTTTTTTTAAAGTTTTTTACTATATACATATAAGGAAAATCAATTACCCCCGGGGTGGGGCTAATTTTGACCCCAGGGCCTTTATTTGAACAACCTTGATAGACACTCACTAGAAAATGTTTCATGCCAA